TTTATTGTTTTGACTAAACGTTTTTTTATAAAAAACTTAATTGTTTATTTTTTATTTATATTGACGCTTGATTATTATTTGTATATATAAGACAACAAAAAGACAAATAATTATATTTGTGTTAGAGATGCATTTACTCTATACACATATACATTTTCATCTTGTTCACCTCTTCATTTCTTATCTCTTTATTTTTTTCTTCATATTGCATATTATATAATTATTAGAAAATAACAGTAAAAAAACATTTAATATAAAAAGTTAATAAAGGAATTAAACATTTATATACCTAAACATTTATTCTTAGAAAAAAATAAAGAAAAAACATTTTTATGTTTTATTTGATTTGGTTTTAAACCTCATGTTTATCAGACTTTTAGGTAGTGCTTGGTACGCATACTAAATGGGACGGTACGGGACAGGATAGGACGGGACAGAACAAGACTAATTGTATGTCTTATATTTGGTACGACTAGGACAGGACATGACAAAACTATTAAAATGACCATATTACCCATAAATGTTGTTCAATGTTATTTTATATCATGTAATGATTGTAAAATGACAACAAATCAATCAAGATATTGTCATTTTAACTTTAGTCTCATGTTGTTCTATCTTTTTTGGTGGAACAATAAATAACAAGATTTGTCCCACTAAAATTAAAAATAGTCCCACCTTGTCCCTTGTTTTTTTTGTCCATGACATGCCAAACATGAGACTATTTTTTTTGTCTCGTCCTGTCCCATGTAGTTTGCATACCAAATGCACCCGTCTTTTACAACTCATGTTGATCTGTCTTTTATAGCTGAAAGATCCCTTAGACATAGTTGTTCGAACACATAATCATTTGTTGACTTAAATGAAATAAGCTATCAGAACCAGCAAGACACGGTTCTTTCTTCAACAATAGTTCTAACGCACGTCCATATATTAATCAATTTCCAGAAAGGTTTCATCCTTACATCAGACAGGTACATGATGTGAGAAGTGATGAAAATTGTGGACTGAACAATAGTTGTCCACCTTGGTCTTCATGAAGATGCATGACCAACAATTCGGTTTAACTTGATGGAAGAATTAGACGTATACAAGACAGAATACCTCAACATATTTGAAAATCAATATTGTAATATAGTTTACAATATTTTAAACTTCTTTCAATCAGATCGAGGTGTCCCGGTTGAACATTGGATGATAATGCCTGAAATTGGTATCTTGATTGCTTCAAAGTATAATGTGATCTTATACGTTATAGACATTACGGGTTGTTCAACATACTTGCCGCTTAGGTCTACTCCACCATTGTGATATCAACATGTAAGTTTTGCAATTGGGTCGTTAATCGTAACCATTATGTGAAACTAGACTTGACAGAGGGATACTCAATCCCTACTATTACTTCACATTTTTTTCATTTCTATTATCTGTGTGCTGTTACATATGTTATCCTGGATTTAGATTGAATAAATAAGTACCTACAACTTTTACTTGTTGATTATACTACAAAAAATGTTATTTTAGAATAAGTAAAAATATAATATAAATTATGTTATGTCTTATTTATGCATCAAATCTCATTTTTCATATGTTTTATTTTTATAATTATATAATTATTTGTAAAAATAATATTAATGGTTATATTAAAAAATTATATTTATTAATAATTTATATAATATAAATGATATAAAAGAAATATATATATTTATTAATAATTTATATTAAAATATAATATAAATAAATAAGAGAGGAAAAACTAAAAAAAAGAATTAATTAAGGAAACAACAAAAAATAAAAAAATAAATAGACAAAAAAATGATTGTAGTAAGCTTACGGGTGCCCTTAGTATATACTAGGATGCCATTAGTCTTCCCCTTTTTTACACCTTAATTCCTCCGTAAATTGACAAGTTGTCGATTACAAAAGTAATAACATTTTTGAATTATTAGGAAAAAAATGAATAAGAGATACATTTAAAGGTTGAAATGACTATTTTAGATTTTTAGTTAATTTACTTTTTATAAAATAAAATTTGATTTGTAGATGATGTCTGATTGGTTTGAGTTTGGTTCCAAAGGTCAAAAATACCAGGAGGTCCTAAGTTCAAATCCAAGGAGGAATAAAAATCCTTTTGTGGCCACGAAAATTCAAATGCAGTGACTCCGATCTATCTGCAAAGCAAATGGTCATTTTAAAATTAATCGACTCATATAACGGATTTGATATCCAACAGGTTAATAAAAAAAATGGTTTGTAGAAAAAAAAAACCATTTTAAACTATTTTGGTCGATTTCAATGCAACAATTTTACCACCGGCATTAACGAAGAGTTGACATATTTGCACAACATTTTATACCCAAAAAAGAAAAAGCTTTACCTCCCCCCTTGTGTTTCTCTTGCTTTGTATACCTCCACGCAATCGCAGCAGAAAGTTTGCTGACGGCAACCCACATGAACAATATCCATCACCTTCATTCCCAATATTTCTTCCGCTTCCCCCTCTCTCGAAAAGAAACCAAAATCACAACAAACCATGAACAATCAATCCATTCAGAACTCGGTTCCCAGCGATATTGCCTTCAAAATCGCTTCTTTGCTTCAGGTCTGTTTGTTTCTTTCGCTAATCTTCTTCTCTCGATACCCTTATTTCGTTCTATATTCTTATGATTCTTTGACATAATGAATTAATGATTCTCTTCTGATTTTGGGAATTTCTTTGAATTCAATTTGGGATCTGATGAAGGAATTGGATTTGTGTGCGTTGGGTAGTTGCTCTCGATTTTGGCGGGAGCTGTGCGGGTCTGATCATATATGGGCGGGTCTATGCAGAGACCGATGGCCAGCCCTAGGTTTGGATAAAGAAGAATCTCTTACTGTTCCTAAATTCAATGCCCATCAGCTTCAGCAACAGCATTTGGACTCTACTTTGAAGGTCTATTGGCTTCCACTCATCATATGCTTACATGGTCTTTTTGTTCTTTATATTGGGGTTCGTTAATTCTCTTCTATAATGGTGATGAAAACCAAATTATTATGAGAAATTGATTAAAAGAGGATATTGCTTTATTGTATCTCTTCCATTGACCTGATCACTGCTACTTAATTACCGCTTAGAATGCAAAATAAGATTCAAGTGTTCATTGTGGATGATAAGAGTCAGTGTAGTTGTAGTGTAATTGCAATTTAACCATTCTTCTTGCTAAAATGCACAAAAAACAAATAAGTGTTTGTCAAAATGACCTATTCTAACCATTATACTTATAGTTTCATTGCCCGTAAACTATTGGGAATTGTATAAAATCATTCACTCTAGTGCAATTTGGTTTCTATTTTGCATTTTGGAAAGTGTAATTTGCTGAAAAGCAATTCACTTGGTGGTTAATATTTGTAGTAGCAATTAGAGGAAGGCATGGTACGGAAAAATCATAGAACCTGCAAATCGGATCCAAAAATACTTGATGAATGTTTGCCTTGCATACATGGAGATAGTGCAATTTCGTGATCAAACATAATAAATAGTGCTTGTGTAGAAGCTGAGAGAGCACATAAAACACTTGCAGACCCCTCCTATTGGGCCTATGGTTCTTGCTTGTTCTTTCTCTCCTTCCACTATCACTATTCACATGTGCATCATGGTAGTTGTTAGAGTCCTACATTGGCTTATTATCCTCAATATATGTTGGAACCTTCCTTTATCTCCCCAAGGGCTATTTTGGAGGATAATCTAACGGTTCCACATAGTATCAAAACCAAGGTCTACTAGAGACTCAACACTCTGGGGCGATGTGTACCCGTCTAGACCCCTCTCAACACTCTGGGACAATCTATGCGCATCTAGCCTCTATTGGAGGGGGCATGTTAGAATCCCACATCAGCTAGACTTGGACTTGCTCTCCTCGATATCTGATGGAACCTTCCTTTATCTCCCCAAGGGCTATTTTGGAGGATAATCTGACGGTCTTCCACATATTCTCCTAGTAGTTTCTCTTCTTTGCCTTCTTTTGGTTTTTCCCTAGAGGGAAGAATAATGTTCTCGATGTTCTCTGTGTGACAAGGTATATCCTTGAGTTGACAAATATGCCCCAATGACTTTATTGTGGAGAAAGAAAAAAATTATGTAAGATGCAATAACAAGTTGCGTAGTTTGCTTACAAATGTGGTGTAATTTGGTTCTTATATGCTGCCATTTGCTTCAACATCGTATATCGTGTTCACAATTCTGATTTATGATCTTCATGTTTTTGTTTGATTTCTTTTAAATGTGACTGTAGGGATGGAGGGGATTTTATGTCAGTAAACATTATGAGATGGCTAGTAAAGCTGACGCTGTTATTCATTTCCTGGAACAATGCATATCCTCAGAATCTATTGAGGTTAATCATTATTTGGTCGCAATGCAAAATATGAGTTCTATGCAGTTTGGATTCAAAGATGTGGTGGTGTTCTTTTTCAAAGAAAATCTTCATGTGCTGCTCAATTTGGCTGGTCTGCACTACTGTATTGCATGGCTTGGAGTACCGGTAAGCATACAATATCCATCCATTTACTCGTTATTTGACTTCTTTTTGTTTTTTGAGTTAACTTCACGGCGATGATGTATAGATTATTACATAGAACTAATTTCTTTAAAATTTAAATTTCAAGCTTTTGTCATCATCTCTTACCCATCAGATATAATAAAGTGATATCACTCCACCCACCGAAGTGCTAACTCCATTTTAAGGAAGTTTCTTGTTGGCTTTTGTAGTGGGTTTCTTCAATTTTCTGATGTGCATCTTCAGATCATCAGTTCTTCTTCCCTCCTTCTTGTCTTTCTTGAAGTGGATTCTGGTTACATAACTGATTTTTGTGCTCTTATGAAGTAATTAAATTGGAAGTTTTGTATCTACTATTAGTGGTAATCATATTAGTTCTGTCTTCTTTAAATCATAAGTAATTTTGAAGAGGATTTGAGACCTTCTTCGTATAAGCATGGATTAATAACTAGAGATGACATATTGACATGTTTTCCTCACTAATTTGGTTTTTCGGCCATATGATGGCCTACCATCATAAAGCTCCTAGTGTGTTCAAAATTTATGCTGATGTATTATTTTCTTAACAGCTAGTTAGTCCTTTTCGCCCTAATGAATAAGCTGGAAAGGCTAGGTCTTGCTTGAAACCAGTAGAAGTAAGCCCGAAAGCTTTCTCATGAAATGGAGCTTTCATAGGGATAATATGCCTTTTGTCCCTTTCCATGGAAGCCGAGAAAATTAAAAGAACTAGGTTTCCCCTTACTTAAAAGTAACAAGGCCCTGGGATAGTGTCCATCTCCAAAATTGAGGTTGTACATAGTTTTGATAATCAGTGGTCAGGGGGCATTTTAGTAAAAATCACTTCGTAGCAGCCATGACTGTTAACCAAGTGTTAAGTGGGTTAGGATGAGGCTGTAAATAAGAAGGTAGTGTGATTGTAGTAGCAAACAAATTCTTTGTGAACTCCAGTATAGTGGAATTGGGAAAGAACCAACCTCTCATAAGTTGGGCAATAACCAGCAAAGCATTCATTTTGTTCCTATTCTCTATAGATTTGATGTCACTACATCCTCATCCTAACCCACTTAACACTTGGTTAACAATCATGGCTGCTACGAAGTGATTTTTACTAAAATGCCCCTATAGATGATTTCATTGCACTGTACACAGGTGGTGAAACATTTAAGTAGCATGATGTTTGATGCTTACATGTGTACGGGTATTTTGTTAAGGAAGAATAGATATAACCGGTGACAATAAATAATTGCATAGAGAACCACCAAATTGTCAAGTGTGTGTGGTCTGTTGTACCCAAGATTTTAGTGGTAACATTTACTTTCACAAAACAAGTAGCCAATGAACCAATAAGAGGTAAGAGCGAATCGATTTGTGATCCATAGGCCCAACGAAATCTGTAACGGTGTTTGGTTTAATGCAATGGAATGGGTTATTATTAGATACCGAGTAGTCAAGTTCTTACACTTTTAACCGACGAAATGACAATTTTACCCTTAATAATAGAGGGAGTAATGAAGTTATCCTTGTCATAATGAAGGGTAGAATTGGAAATTAGGCACTTTTGCAAGTAGACACTTGTTCTTGGACAAACTAAACTAGAAATTTGGACACTTACAGTGGGATGCAGAGAGCATATGATTATGAAGTTCTCATTTAATACATGTGATATATATTTTCCTTTGTTTACATGCGGTTATTGTTCCAGGCCGAGCATGTGATAGAAGCTGTCAGTAGGTGCAAGATTTCTGATCGGCAAATATGTGTTCAATGGTGGAAGCTTGGACGGTGGTTGTATGGCTTTCGGCTGCGTGATGAGTCAATTTCACGACGGGCATCCCTAAGAGATCTTGCAATGGCCAAGGAACAAGAAGTTCTTGATGTGCTTCATCGGGGTGCAATTCATGAGGTGATCCGTGTTCAGATTTCGGCTGCTAAACCGGTTAGCTCTCCTTGGTCATGCCAAACCCAGACTCCAGAAACATCAGGTTAGTTAGAGATAATTTTCACATTCATCTGTGTGTATGTATAATGCATTCTGTGCATAGTTGTTCATATATAAGTATAGTAGGAATAAATGGTGCAATCTACATAACAGAACAAGGCATTGCGCACTGAATGTGGCTGAATGTATGTATATAGTCAAAAGTCGGGGGTCTTCTCGGAATCTGTCCCTTGAGACAGGGTTAAGGTCTACGTACATTTTACATATTCCAAACCCTACCTTCAGATGGGATATACCGAGTTTGTTTGGCGTGGTTCAGTTATGTATATAGGGCTTCAAACTTTCTGTTTTAAAAGCATAATTTGTAATTGATTTTCACCCAACTGGTACAATTCGAGTCTCATGACCCGTAGTTGTAGGTCTGAAAATTGATGTACTCTGTGTGTGTGTGTGTGTTTCGGCCCGTTGAAAAGAAGGCATAAAGTGCATTTGAGACCCAAAAAGATGATGATAGAGAAGGTTTGAGTAGCTCAACCGGTAAAAACCTTGGGTTTGCTCCTCAGTGATCATCTACTGGAGTCCCCTCAACGCCATTTGAGGTTTCCCCGACTGTTTAACATCGGTTATCCAAAAACGATGATAGAGGAAGTATTTGACATTTAATATCGGTAGGCATAATCCCCATCAGGGAACTCATATTAATCGGTTATAAATTCAGGACTCGTTGCTAACAAAATATAACTACAAGGGAAACGGGTGAAACGGATGGGACGACTTAAAAGTAGTCTACTTGAGTATTTACGATCCTCTAAATTGTTTTAGTTAGAAAAATCATATCATTATATTAAGACTAGTTCTTTTGTAACAATTTTTGATGTATGGAATTATTCATCCCCAGTCAATTGACGAAATTTCTCATGTCCTTTTGTACATTCTGTAAAAGGGTACGACACCACTTTCCGGATGCCCGTATCGGTCCATCATGGAATGTCCCAAAAGAGAGTGGATGGTGTCTAGAGTCGAATCCCCGATGGAACGTAGCTGAAAAAGGTATTTAGATATATGATATTTGATCTATTTTGCCGTTGACCTCGTATGGAGAACCGAGAACTGATAAACATACTCTGATGAAAGCCGGCACCATGGAATGTCCCGACCTTGTCACCTTTCTTCCGTTTTTGTTAGGTTTTCGTGCTTTGAATAGCGAGATAATCGTGAAAAAACGAACATAAGTGCGAAAGATACATATGCTTATAATAGTAGTTTACAACTAAAAGAAGTTTTTAGCAAGAATTGGCTGAAAGCAATCTTCATGTGTCCAGCAATTTAAATGGTACGGTAATGTCCATGTTTAGCGCATATATATAGCGATATATAGATATATGAATCAAACCCGCTTGACGGTACGAAACGACCAGCATTTTCGGTCATTCTTGAGGTAGAACGGGCGGTGCAATCGTTCGGGTATTATACGATCTGCAATGGCAGCATTTCTGCCCAAATATGTGGAAGAAAACTTCAGTAGTGTCGTTGCAATCGTTACATAGTATCCAGACCTGCAAATTTGATGTTCGTTAGATGAATTTTGTTACATGGTTGACAACCATAAGCTAACTTATTGTTTAAGCTTATTGAAAAAGCCAGTTTGGTAAACGATAAACTAGCTTATATTATTAGCAACTTCAACTATCGTTTCAATAAGCTTTAGGGGTTTTTTCACATGTTTTCTCGATTTTGTTCTTAATATTTTACGTAAGTGACATACCCTCTTATTTATATCCTTTAGTAAGGTTTAAACCCTTGACCTTCTAAACTAGTTTTAGCTACTAGCTTATTAGTCAACTTTTCAGTTACCAACTAGTTTTAGCTACTGGCCTTCAACAACTACTTCAATCCCAAGAAATATCGAGCACGGAAAAACTAGTTGGACCAAAAGTGTCCAGGAAGTGTAGGAGATCACGGGAACATGCAATAAAGATCGAAAGATTCGGGGTTATACCTTATTTTGCCTGTAATCATCCGGCATAATAGTTGCTTCGATCTGTGAAACAGGCGTATAAGATCAAGAACAATCGAATAACAACAACTAACGAACCTCAATGAATCGCATACGATCCGAGCGACCTACCTCTTCATCGATCATCTTCCACCTTGTGGACATGTCCATTACTGATTTTGAGCATATCGGACAACAAAACCTGCTTAAAAATGCCAGAAGATTACCAAACCGTACCAACAAACCAAGATCACGAACATTGTGTATAACGAGAGTTCTTACTTTTCTCGCTTTATCATCTCGTTATAACATTCACGATGCATCGTGTGCCCACATTTCATGACAGCAGTGACTTTCATCGAGTCGAATAGATACTGTAAAACGTAGTGGTACCAATGAATTCTGCAAGTTCTCAGAAATGGTAAATGATCGAGAGCAGAGAAAAGATGCAAACCTCGTAACATATGGGACAGTGATGACCCATGGAGTTTTCAACACATAAATGGTTATCGCGCAAACCAACCGCATAACAAGATCCTGGAATTTAACAGTCAAGAAGGGGGATCGAAAAGGGCATACGAATCTAAACATACAGAGTGTCGATCCTAATCGATGCATACCGCATTTTTTGCAATGAAAGAAGTTCTCGAGGCCACCGACTCTGTTCACGTCAACAGTGAACATCAAATAACACAATGAATGTTCTAAAGAACGAAAAAGATCAAATACAATCGTTAGTTCGCAAACCTGCAGATGCCACAATCATCGCAATGAAACAGACCCTTTTCGATCTGCAACATGATGATTATAAATTTAGAATCACTGGATTGGAAAAAAATACTCGTAAGATACACAAGACATATATGTTCGATCTAGTTTTATACATCGTCATCGTAGAATTTGCAGATTTCGCAGAAGTATTCCCCCATGTTAACACCGCAGTTCGTGCAGGTACGTGCAACCTGGATAGCAAAGAATCGATTCAACAAATTAAGAAACTGTTTACCAATACTAGGTAAGCACGATCCAGGTAAGAGTTACCACACCGCTTATTTTACCGGATAAGACTTTTCGGTTATATCGAAATAGCACATTATAAGCTTGTCTTACCCGATAAGCACCATCTTTACCTACCGGTAAGATTCTTGGTTAGCAAAATGGGAGCATAAGGTTGTTAGTAAAACCCATATCTCATTACCGGGTAAGTGTCTCTTACCCGGTAAGAGTCAGAGTCCGTAAATGTTTAGTAAACAGCCAAAGTAAAACAATCGTTGTAGATCGAGTAAAATGAAATATACCGGTTGCTCTGTGTCGCAAACCGAACAAATAACCTGCAACAAACATAAGTTCTTAACTCAAAACTGTGTTCAATATCTTCATAATTAGTTGAAAACTGAAAGTTGCAGGTCTGAAACATACTTGCTTCACTTCAGATCGTACAACTTCATGGCGATCGAAGTGGTTCTTCATCATACTCTGAACAGATCAACGGAGATCAGATCAAAACACGAAACATGAACAACACTAAATCGATTCAAATCGATCGATAACCAGCATCTAATCACCTTAATTTGCTCTAACTGATCTGAAAACCTGATGAACATTTACTGGCAACTATGGCAAAGATCTACACGAATCGAATCAAGAAAAAACAACAGAAACCCCATGAAAGTAAAGTAATCATACCGTAGCCTCGTTGTGACAGTGACGACAATCGAATATCTCGTTGCAACAAGGAGCACGGATCATACATCTTCTTCTGTAGTGCTTGCATCTAACAACAAGATTCACAGAAAACGATTATAGATACAGACTTATATATATATATATATATATATATATATAGTAAAAAAAGAGTGGAGAAATTGCAGAAAAGAGATGGATACCCATAACCCATCTTCCCAAAATCCAGACGTTGATCATCCATGGAGGTTAAGGAGATGGGGAAGAAGGATGGCAGAAGAGCAACTTTCCCAAAATGGAAAGAATGGATTGATATATGGAATGGACACAAGGATCGAGTAGGTTTATATATATATATATATATATATATATATATATATATATAAGTTTGTGTTTGTGTGGGGAATGGGATGCATGCATTGTAGTATATATAATATTATGGGAGCAGTGGATAAGGTTCGTGATCTCATGGTCGCCGAATCATGGGCCAATCGGAAGTCATCTGTAAATGGAAATGATCTAACGGTCGAGCCGTCAGGTTCATGGACCAGATACGCCGTTAAACGTTCTTGTCAAATGCTGTCAACTTTTTTAGACCGGTTTCGATTTGTTACCTGACGAGTCTTCATGATAGACTCAAATTCGGTTAGACAAACATTTATTATGATAAACGGGGTTATAAGATGTTATAATATTGCATGCACATGTGAGAAACACGTGGGTTCACTTAAACGGATTGAGTTAACCTCCGTTAGGGTTAGGGTTAGATGTGGTCTTGGCATGGAGGACCGGATCCTATGATTCCCGGAGGCCCTTGACTAGGCTAACAAAGAGTGTTGCACTTAAACATGCATAACATTTGCTATAGGGTTCCTTTTAGACCCATAATAAGTTGATTCGAAGCTTGAAACAAGGAGCACATCTTAAGTAAGCCGAGGGGCATACGAGGTTTGAGACCTAAAAACATCGTTTGGATATGATTCTGGACGTTTTCGGTTTTTGTGCTATGTTTTTTTAGATTTTTCTTTTGAATTTTTATGTTTGACCCATCGTCCTTTTAGGTCCGTTTAAGTTTGATTCTCTTATTTATATGTTTCTAATGTAATCTGGATGGTCACATGTAGATTAATAGAAACATCCATCCAATTTTCGAGTTCTCTCTGGATTATAATTTTGAACCTAAATCCCGGTATTCGTTGAATTAACGAAATTTAAAAAAGATAATTCTCGAGTATTCTTAGAATTAAGGGGATCAATCTTATTGTTGGGTTAATTGTTTTTAGACCATATTTATGCAAAAAGATCTCAATGCAATTATACACCTTTATCTATTGTTGTTTCTTAATAAGTAATAACTGTAAAAGTACCAGATATTGATCCAAGAGAAGGCTTGTAAAAGTTCTTCAAAAATCGAATCTTTAAAAGCCAATTTCGGATGACGAATTCGAATTTGTTTGGTGTGTGTGAGTTATCAACTAAAGAAATCAATCGTAAAAGAAGAAGCAAATTGTGTAAAGGTTTGTCAAGACAAAAACAAATGATCCAGTAGGAAGGTACTATAGCATCGTTGGACAATCTTATATTACAACAGGATGATGTTATAATATTGTCGTAATTACTCAACTATCAGTATAGACAGCCTCACAAAAGTTCATACATGCCCACTACTATTGGTACGCCATCATCTATATTAAATGTCGTGAATCCTAACATGGAATGGTCTTACCTTCATACACTACGTACATGGATATAGCACCTGTCAAGTACTAAAACTCGTTATAGTCTTCTTATATCAAAACAAGTTTTCATATTTGTCAGGTACTAAGAATGTTCTTTCTCACTTACTGGGTAAAATTATCGATCCCTACTATGCCTCTTACAAGATAAGATTTTCGATCTATATTATGCTCATTTGGTAAGGTAAGTGACACTCGGCAAACACTTACCAAATAAACTTTTGATGAACGCCTTAGATTCTCTTATTGTTTTGAGGTCTTGTTTTCATGTATATATGTTTTGGTTAAGATCAAATGATGACTTATTCGACTATACTTGAAGTTATTTTTGTATTCATTGAATTTCGTCTTAAGCCACTTATATCAGTTAATTGTTTTGTGGTTCAATTAATAATACAAGGGTAAATCGGTAATTTTAGATTGGATGACAACTCACCCATTTAATACGTTTAAAAGCATCATCTCTTCCTCCATTTTTATTATTTTAGGCCATGTTCGGTAAAAGTAAACAAGCTTATTTTTTTAGCTTACTTCAAAAGTCACGTTTGGATGCAAAATTTAGTTTATAAGCTAACTTATATGTAATCGTCAATGATACATTCTTAACCTGAATGAATAATTAGTGGAAAATGCTATTATTCAAAGCACCTCTGTACTTTCACATTAGTTTCGGTCTTTGACTTTCTTTTACACCCCAAGTTAAGGCGATTAACCATCATTACTCGGATTCTTCCAACAAAATATGTAAGGACTGGAATATGAATACTTGAAATGGAAATTACTCAAAGTAAAATGGGTAAATTAAAGACGGAAAAAGAAACTTGGCATGCAAGTAACAATATGTTATAAGAATGTAAAGGACTAAAAATAAATTGCATGGAAATGTAAATGACATAAAGCAAATTGCACAAATTAAAGTGTTAAAATGTAAATGAAAAAAAATGTAATGCTAGAAATGTATAGATTAAAGCAATAAAACGGAGTTAAAGAGAAGGAACAATGTTGCATGAACGTAAATTGATAATCATAGTTGGGATCTTTTGCGTTTGATACATTTCAAACGACCAATAAAAAACATCGACGTTCGTGTTCACATATAAGATTTAATTCAATTTGCAGATTGTAAAATCGTCAATGATTTGAAGGTGGAAAATTGGATACAAAATTGATGATTATCAATATCCAAAAAAATGTTATAAAAATAGAAGATAAACGAGAATATTTAAAAAAATTTTATAGTTATCTTAATTAGTGAAAAAGACTTGAAATCATAATTTTAAACTACTGGTTGAGATTGTTTCTTCCAATCTCAACATTTTTTTGTTTCTCATTTGAACTTAACACTATGGGGCCGTTTACCTAAATGCTTACCCGGTAAGTGTTTACCTGGGTGAGAGTCGTTATCATTACTTACCGGGTAATACTCTTTACCCCTTTCATTACTCTTACTCGGTAAGATTCTTGGTCTTTTTCATGTTCATCCGATAACGAAATTTATCCGGTAAGCACTTACCAAGTAAGTGTTTAGTAAACGGCCCCTATATTTATATGTATATATAGGGGAAGATTCAAATACATAGGTAAAGAGATTAGAACCTACAAATAAATGGTTCCTATATGAATCATGATAAACCCTAAAAGTTCCATTTGAAAATTCATATGATTACTTATGTTTTTGAGTTAAATGCAAATTTAATCCTTTAAGGTTTGCATAAATTAACGACTAAGGTCTATAAAAAGAATTATTAATGACGGACGTCCCTGCAGTTTCATTTTGTTTGTATATATGGTCCCTTCTACTAACTCTTTCAACTAAGTTTTCGTTCGTGAGGGACAACTTTGTCTAATCGTCATTCTCTTTCTCAACTTTCATTTTCAATAATAAATTTGGTCCTGAAACTACTTTTGATTTTATAACAGATTTGGTCCCTTAAACTACTTTTCATTATTATAACAGATTTGATCCTCCAAACTACTTTTTATTTTTAAAACAAATTTTATCCCTCCCTCAACTTTCATTTTTAGGATTTGGACTGCCCCTTTAATCAATAAATTTTGGTGGCACAAGCATATATATCTTTTAAATATAATAAACAAACTAATTAATTGAAATTTTAAGCTTAAATTTTGCGATGAAATATTTTATCTTTTCAGAAACATTACTTTCATGGAATAATTTAGCTTAAATATAACATAATTTAAATAAATTTTTTTTTTTGATTAGTTAAAAATTGAAAAAGGTTTCAGAATTAAATACCCGACAATATATTAAGGGTATGAGCGTAAATGATACGAGACAACTCGCGAACTAATCGAGATCGACTCGGTCAACACTCGACTCGAATAGGCTCGACTCAAACTCGAACTCGACTCGACATATTAACGAGTTGAGTCGAACTACCCAATACTCGACTTGAAAAACTCGTGAGATACTCGATTTTTTATATATAGTTAGTTTAAAAATATAATTAGTTATAATATGTATAATATAATGTAATAAAAGTGTCTTATATTATTAAATATTTGAACAGTATTGTGCATTTTTAATTATAAAAACTATATCAATAACTTTTTTATTAAATTCATAATTAAAAAAGACAGAAAAAAAACTATATAAATGTTGGTGAAGTTGTCCCACATTGGAAAAGAGATAATAAAAGAAGGATGGAAAGTTGTTATAAAAAGAGAGGGATGCGAATAAAGTTTGTAACTTTGTCTTTTTTATGATGAATTTTGAGGTGCATTCTTTTAGTTTTTTAAAATTTAAAAGAACACCTTTAAGTTTTATAATTTATAAGAGAAGACCTTGAAATTTCATAAATTTCGACGGGTGAGCTGATTAGAGTTCGAGTTCGAGCTTAATTGGAGTTCGAGTTTGATTCGAGTAGAAGTTTGAGCTTGGTTCGAGCTTCAAATGAGTTTGAGTTTAAAAAATTGCAATCGAGTTTGAGTCGAGTTTAGTTTTTAACTACTTGCGAGTTTTCGAGTCGAGTTCGAACTTGAGAAATGGCTATCGAGTCGAGTCAAGTATACTTATACACTCGAGCTCGACTCGCATCATTTACACCCCTAATTAAGGGGGTGTTTGAGATTGCTTATTTAGGGTGCTTTTTTAATTATTTCATTCCGGCACCGGTGATAAGTTGTTTCCCGGTGTTTGGATAAGAAAAAAAATTGTTTCTCGGTGTTTGGATAAGAAAAAAAATTGTTTATACTGATGTCAAACCGGTAATAAGCAGTTTTTGATAAGTTAGTCTTTCTTGACTTATGAAAATCAACTTATCATCGGTTTACCATTTTAACCCTATTTAACACCTTTTCTCCAATACAGTAGATACATCAACATCCCTTCCTCCAAATATCTCTTCCTCCAGATACATCATCGTCTCTCTACACAATAGATACGATACGAACAGAAATTGATACCCTAACCCAATACGAACAGATACATCGATATCTCTAATATCTCTACACAACAAATACGATACGAACCAGAGATCGATACCCTAATCGGAGAAAGTGTATGACCGTCGTTGAAAATTCGTGGCTGTGAATCGCGATCCATCTCACAACAATACGAACCACTCTCTTCACAACAGAGATCGATCTTCCCCGTATTTTAAGGTTAGTGATTCAATTTCTGCGAGTTTGTTTTTTGTTTCAAGAGACAATCTTGTGCCTGTTAACAGTCGATGTTTTTGTACAATAGCCACACCATGTATATATGTGTGTTTGACTTGGTTCATCTGCAGGAAAACCTAAAATTAAGTATGTACGGTATGCACAATAGCCACACCATCAGTATATATGCGATGTCAAATTATGTAAAATCGTGTAAGAATTGCTGCCAAATGGTTTTGTATTGAAGTAGATCAAGAGAAAAGGAATTGATTGATATTTATTTCTAGAAACTAGCATAAAGGGGTACCTTTTTGTTAGATTGGTCTTGAAATTGTATGTTGAAACCGAAAGAATTTGCACTCTAGCATTTTCATCTGGAACACCTAAAGTAATCTCTCGTTCAAAACGTCTGGGCCTTCTGCCGGATCAACAACATCTGGATTTAACAGGAGGTAGAGAAGACAGACAATTTGCTTTTGTACACCAAGCCCAACTTCTTTTCTCAACAGCTGAGAGATACTTTGAAAAACCAGCACCTCTCCGTACCTACCTTGACAAGGATTCACACAGAAAAATTGAGGAAGGGTACATAAAAAATATGAGATACCAAACTACAGTTGACAATAAAACTTACATCTCATAAGCATCAGTTCTTACAAAAAAAATGCTCATAATCAAAACTGCCTCCACGCTTATAATTTCTTCACTCGTCTTGTGACAATTTGATGCATCATTTGATAAAGACAAAACCATTTTGAATAAGGAATCAACAGTGAGGAATCAACCCTCAAAGCTATCCTTGTTACAAACTTTGTTAGCACTTGTCAGCCTTGAGAGAACTGGATGGTGTAGATTAGATATCTCAATGATATCCCCACACAATTGATGTGCCATTTTTAGAATGTTTTCAGAACTTTTATTCACAGTGGAAGAGTCATTAACAATGACATTGTCCCTGAGCACAGTACACTGGAGAAATCAAATCATAGTTCATAAGGCGAAGAGTCATTAATGGACACACGATATGTGGTAGAATCATTTGGTACATCAATAGTTTAAGTTTATTTAGATGGTTCAAACATGTTTTTTTTTTGCAGCACCCATTTATGTATTTATAATGGACCAATGGTTTAACTTTATTTTAGATGGTTCAAATAGGGTTTTTTTTTCAGCCATCCATTTATACAACGTAATGGAAACTGAATACATTGGTGGTCTTCTTATTAACTTTGTTATTCAGGTAATGAACGTGAACAATGCTAACTTTGTTGCTAGTTATACATCTAAAAAGAATAAGCCAAAACTTGTTTGGGATAATACTACCTTTATGGTGTTCATTGATTTGTGCATGAATGAGGTTAAAAATGGGAATAGACCTGGTACTCACTTCAATAAGCTTGGGTGGGGAAACAAAGAGAAGAAGATTAATGAACGGACAGGAAAATCTTTTGACAAGAAGCAACTTAAAAACAAACAGGATATGGAGAAAGAATGGAAGTTGTATGATCGTTTAATGAGGATTAAATCTGACATTGGATGAGATCCCGTGAGAAAGACAATTGTTTCATCACCAGAGTGGTGGGACGAAAAAATAAAGATAATACTTACTATTTTATACATATTCTTTTGTTTTCTATTACTTTTTTAGGAGTTCCTAGTGAAATTTGCTAATAAGAGCCATTAACACACAGGGAGATAAAAATCTTGCCAAGTTTAGGGACTTAAATTTGGAGATTTATCAAGTGTATTATGAGCCTTTATTTTGGGATTCCATTGTCGTTGGAGATAAGACTAAGGCTCCCGTTGAATGACAAAACAATAGCGGTCCAACTCATGTTGAAGATGAAGAAGATCATGAGGGGAAAGGAGATAGCGATGAAGTGAATTTAGGCGACGATGATAAACACCTTTTCCCTCAAAGTAGTTCGAGTAAAAGGAAGAAGCCGAATAATGTCGCACCTACCCGTTCAACCAAGGGAAAATCTTCTGTAACTTCCTTATTTGAGGATAAACTAGATAATATATTTGAGGCACTATCATCACGAAGCACACAAACTTTTTCATCAAAGAATAATGACTCACCAACGACACAAGAATGCATGGACATTGTGACATGTTTTCCAGAATTTAAAGAAGGTTCAAGGATGTATAGCCAAGCATTACACATCTTCCTAAAAAAGCAAGTCCGTGAAAATTTTATGGTTCCAAAGACATGCATGGCAAGGATGGAGTTTCTTAAGTTACTTATGGATGAATGATTCATATCGTGTTTTCCCCATTTGATTTTATCTATCCCTTTTTAGGATGATGTTTCACATTATCGTTTAATATTGTGATATTATGTTTTCAACTGGTTTCATATCCTGTATTATCGTTTGACATTATGTATGACGTTGGACATTATCTATGGCGTTTGATATTATCTATCCTTTTTATATGTGTTTTTAATAAGTTTGATTTTTTTTATCTATTAATAGAATGGATAGTGATGACTCTGATTCGAATGATGATAATGAAATAAATTGGGTGGAAGAGGAGAACATATGGCTACTATCATGTGCAATAGCTATCAAAGGGATAATAATAAGTCATAAATTGAATAGCATGCGTATGCCTTGCCGCACATCTTCGCGCACAGAAACATATTTATTCATGAAGTACTTATCCTCGACGTTGCTACGAAGATTTCAGACTACATGTCCCAGTATTCAAAATGTTATGTTCAGATCTTGCTACATGTTACTGGTTAAAGCCAACACGTAATATATGTATTGAGGAGTCTGTTGGCATTTTCTTGATGACTTTAGCACATGGGTATGGAAATAGGTTAATTCAAGAAAGCTTTAATCATTCTGGAGAGACTATTTATAGGCATTTCCATGTTGTTTTGAAAGCTGTGCTTAAGTTAAGTGTGGACATCATAAAACCAAATGCAAATTACAATGAAGATGTACTCGCACATATTCTAAATAACTCTCGTAATTATCCAATGTTCAAGGTACTTCATATATCTTGCTTCGTATTTGACCGTAGCATTTTAATAGATTAATAAATTATTTTACTTATATTTGTAGGATTGTATTGGTGCTACCGATGTGACATATGTAAGGGCATCGGTCCGAGAGCATGAGCAAGCAAAATACATTGGTAGAAAATGATATGCGACGCAAAATATCATGGCAGTTTGTGATTTTAATGTGTTTCACGTTTGCATGGGCTGGATGGGAGGGAACTGCACATGACACACGAATATTTTTTGAAGCCTTACGCAGAACTGAACTTAATTTTCCACATCCAATCGGGTTTTTTTTTGTAGTAATGCAAACTTTTATGTTTTCATACCATTTGAAACGAATAACAGTAGTTTGTTTATTTTTCATAACATATAAGTATTATGTTGTTGATGCCAGATATCCAAATACTAAAGGTTATCTTGATCCATACAAAGGAACAAATATTCGTTATCACGTACCTGATTTCCGTCGTAGACAAATTGCAGTAATACGTGTTCCTAAATGAGCAAAAGAGACATTTAACTATTATCACTCATCACTGAGGAATGTTGTTGAACGAACTTTTGAAGTAGGGAAAACTAGGTGGCAAATACTAAAAGATATGCATGTCAATTACACCTATGAGACACAAGTAAATATTGTGCTAGCGTCGATGACAATTCACAATTATATTAGAATGAATGGAAGTTTTGACGAAGCATTTGACATGGCGCAACAAGAATCATACAACCCTTCTATTGATGTTGATGATGAAGGATGTGATAGCAATAATGAAGCACATGAAAACACAAGTTCACGTCGCAGGAGTGACGATCTATATATGAGTGCGATAAGAGATATTAAACATATCTCCTCATCCATAATCTATCGACTTCCAACCGATCCTCAGATTTATCAGCTTTCACTGATGTCCTTCTACACGCTCGATTTGACAACCCACATTCACACGCTTGATTGCAGGTTTCCAAGACACTAATTGAGGCCTCCAACACACTCGATTGCAAGGTTTTAGTTCTGACTCCTTTCTATCACAAAAGTATGAAATTGGGAAAACAAAAGTGTTTATTGATAACTGAGAAGAAAGGTATTTATAGTACAATAAACAATACCTAACAAACTATGAAAACAGAATAAAACAGAAAAGACCAAAAAGCCCTTTAGTGGTAATACTCCCCCACAAGATGAACCGGGTAAAAACGAATTCTGAAGGTTCATCTTAGATAAAGAAATTGAAGTTGCGGCATAGGTAATGGTTTGGTGAGCGCATTTGCCAATTTATAAGTAGACTCAACCGGCATCAATCGAACAAACTTATCAACCACTTCCTCTCGAACAAAGTGACAATCAATGTCCATGTGTTTTGTCCTCATGAAAAGTAGGATTAGAAGCTATTTGCATTGCCGACTTGTTATTGCAAAACAAGAGTATGGTCAACAGACGTGGATCCATTGGTTCTTTGATGGGTTTTGAGGCTAACATGCCATTATCTTCAAGTAATTGTAAGACATATGTTCTTTGAGATAGTAAAATTCCTTCTTCAGACCTGATGACTTCTAAACCCAGAAAAAACTTCAAATCACCCAGATCCTTGAGTTTAAATGCATTAATCAGTTGTTCCCTTAGTTTAGTAATTCCACATTTTGACGCCCTCATGATGATTATGTCATCAACATACACCAATAGAGATACAAAATCCTATCCATGACCTTTGTGAAATAACGAATAATCAGCTTTCGATTGTGAGAAACCAATAGACAACATAAAATTTGAAAACTTTGTGTTCCACTGCCTTGATGGCTGCTTGAGCCCGTAAATGGATTTGTTCCAACAAGAAACTCCTCCTCAACATTATATCCTTGAGGGATGTCCATATAAACCTCTTCTTCAAGATCTCCATTAAGGAAAACATTATTCACATCCAATTGAATAAGCTCCCATCGATTAATTGACGCCAAGGCTAAGACAGTCTTGACGGTAACCATCTTAGCGATGGGAGAAAACGTATCAACAAAATCAATGCCTTCTTGTTGATGAAGCCCCTTTACGATGAATCGAGCTTTATACCTCTCGATGACACCTGAAGGTCCATACTTTAGCTTGTACACCCACATACAGCCGACCGAACTTTTTCCTTCTAGTAGTGAAACCACAATCCACATATTGTTTAATTCCATGGCTTTAAGTTCTTCCTTCATTACCGAAATCCATTATGTATTTTCAGTAGTTTGCTTGTATGATGAAGGTTCCATATTAGTTGATATTGCACAAGCAAAGCTTCTTTGTGCCTCTGTTAACTGTTTGATAACCAAAATTTGGATAATGAATATGGCAATGTACTTGAGTTACCACCATGAACAACATTACAATGATACTCTTTTAGGTAAGAAAGAGGTCGTCGATTTCGAGATGATCTTCGATTACTGTTTTCTGCCTGACTACAATCAGCCATGTTGTTGTTAATGATTCTTCTTGGTGCTCCATTGGTTCACCGAAAATTGGCTCCCCAAGCTCATCTTCTTTTTCCGAACTTTGAATTTGCTCCATACAAACTTTGTGTTTCTCATCATCTTCATAAAAAATCATCTGTTCCAACTACAGGAATAACGACATCTGCAAATGGATCATAATCTTTATCAACATGCCCACCATCATAAGGAAATACATCCTCATGAAAAACAACACGAGAGTGAAATATTTCTTTTGTCTCTAAATCCAACAACTTGTATGCCTTCATTCCCACGGGATAGCCTACAAAGACACACGCTTTGGCACGTGGACTAAACTTGTGTCGTTGGTTAGTCAAAGTTGAGGCAAACGCAAGACATCCAAATGTACGTAACATGGAAAAATCTGGCAGCTTATCATATAATACCTCGTAAGGAGTTCTGTTACCAAGAATCTCAGAAGGCGTCTTATTAATCAGAAATGTAGCAGTTAAAATACATTCTGGCCATAATTGAAGAGGTACCTTAGATTGAAACATCAATGAACGAGCCACATTCAGTAAATATTGATGCTTGCATTCCACAACTGAGTTTTGTTGCAACCACTCAACACAAGACCTTTGATGCAATATACCTTGGTCAAGAAAGAAATACGTAAAATTCAATTCTCGAGCATTATCTGTACGGAAAGCTTTAATTTTCACCCCAAACTGGGTTAATACCATATTGTAAAACCATGCAATAACTTGGATAGCATATGATTTATTTTTAACTAAAAACACCCACGTATATCGGCTGTGATCGTCAACCAGCGTAAGAAAATATTTGTGTTCATTTCTATACGATAAATGAAATGGTCCCCAAGTGTCAAGATGCACAAGATCAAAAGACTTGTCACAAACATTGTTTAATGAAACAAATGAAAGTCGTTTCTGTTTCGACAAAGGGCAAATGGTACAATTACTTTCTTGTAAACTTGTCTTGACATTCAACAAAGACTTTATTACAAGTAATGTTCTATTTGATGGATGGCCAAATCTTTGATGCCAAACATCTAGAGAAACTGCAGAAACTTGATTTATTGCCACCTTCTTATCTTCCTCCAGAACATACAACCCTTGACATTGATCAACCTTGCAAATCATCTTGTTGATCTTCTTCTCCTGAATTAAACCATAATTGTGATAAAGTTGCACCATGAGTTTCTGATCAGAAGTTAGAGCACTTATTGAGATCAGATTCAAATGAAACTCTGGAAAGAATAATACATCACGCAATAACAAACTATCGTTAACCACCACATCTCCAATCAATTTCACTCCAACAGATTCATTTGTAGGAAGTGTAATGAAGAAATTTGATACTGCTCGAGAACTAATAAATCTCTTAATATCTCGACAAATATGCTTAGACGCTCTAGAATCTAATATCCATGCATTAGAAGATATAGAGCCAATTCTATATGAAAGAGAATAGCATATACCTGAGGATTCTTTGCACCGATCCTAATTCTTGATAGTAGACACTGATTGACCGATCAGATGTCCAGATAAAGCCGATAAGAGCTGTTGACTTTGAGTCGATGAAAGACCTTTGATTACGCTGTTGAGATCTTCACCAAGAGGTGCAACATATCCTTCAACAGAAACATTATTTACTTTGTTTTTTGATTTGTATCCGATTGGATACCCGTGCAATTTATAGCACCTGTCTTTAGTGTGGCCTTGTAATTGACAATGGGTACAAAAAAGTCTTTCTCGAGAAATTAATCGGTTACCTGAGCTTGGCAACGAATTGTTTGTGACTGGTCGTTTCAATCCAGAAGATCCCATTTTCACATTTAACGCCATAGAGTGATTACTAACAACCTTGTTGGTCCCGTAAGGGTCTACAAGAATAGAAACAGTTTGTAGAAGGGGGGGATGAATACAAACACAGTATTTTCAAATTTAAAATATATATTGATAGAGAAGA